GAGGACAGCATGGGAGGATAATGGGAGGACAGCATGGGAGGATATCATGGGAGGACAGCATGGGAGGATAGTATGGGAGGACAGTATGGGAGGACAGCATGGGAGGACAGCATGGGAGGACAGCATGGGAGGACAGCATGGGAGGACAGCATGGGAGGACAGCATGGGAGGATAGCATGGGACAGCATGGGAGGACAGCATGGGAGGATAGCATGGGACAGCATGGGAGGACAGCATGGGAGGACAGCATCGGAGGACAGCATGGGAGGACAGTATGGGAGGACAGCATGGGAGGATAACATGGGAGGATAGTATGGGAGGACAGCATAGGACAGCATGGGAGGACAGCATGGGAGGACAGCATGGGAGGATAGTGAGGGAGGATAGTATGGGAGGATAGTATGGAGGACAGCATCGGAGGACAGCATGGGAGGATAGCATGGGAGGACAGCATGGGAGGATAGCATGGGAGGATAGTATGGGCGGACAGCTTGGGAGAATAGTATGGGAGGATAGTATGGGGGGACAGCATGGGAGGATAGCATGGGAGGAAAGCATGGGAGGATAGCATGGGAGGACAGCATGGGAGGACAGAATTGGAGGATAGCATGGGAGGATAGTATGGGAGGACAGCATGGAAGGACAGCATTGGAGGACAGCATGGGAGGATAGTATGGGAGGATAGCATGGGAGGACAGCATGGGAGGACAGCATGGGAGGACAGCATGGGAGGATAGTATGGGAGGATAGCATGGGAGGACAGCATGGAAGGACAGCATTGGAGGACAGTATGGGAGGACAGCATGGGACAGCATGGGACAGCATGGGAGGACAGCATGGGAGGACAGCATGGGACAGCATGGGAGGACAGCATGGGAGGATAGTATTGGAGGATAGTATGGGAGGATAGCATGGGCGGACAGCATGGGAGGACTGCATGGGAGGATAGCATGGGAGGACAGCATGGGACAGCATGGGAGGATAGTATGGGAGGATAGTATGGGCGGACATTATGGGAGGACAGCATGGGAGGATAGCATGGGAGGACAGCATGGGAGGATAGCATGGGAGGAAAGCATGGGAGGATAGCATGGGAGGATAGCATGGGAGGACAGCATGGGAGGAAAGCATGGGAGGATAGCATGGGAGGATAGCATGGGAGGATAGTATGGGAGGATAGCATGGGAGGACAGCATGGGAGGACAGCATGGGAGGATAGCATGGGAGGATAGCATGGGAGGATAGCATGGGAGGATAGTATGGGAGGATAGCATGGGAGGACAGCATGGGAGGACAGCATGGGAGGATAGCATGGGAGGATAGCATGGGAGGATAGCATGGGAGGATAGCATGGGAGGATAGTATGGGCGGACAGCTTGGGAGGATAGCATGGGAGGAAAGCATGGGAGGATAGTATGGGAGGAAAGCATGGGAGGATAGCATGGGCAGACAGCATGGGATAGCGTGGGGGGACAGCATGGGACAGCATGGGAGGACAGCATGGGAGGATAGCATGGGAGGACAGCATGGGAGGATAGCATGGGCAGACAGCATGGGAGGATAGCGTGGGGGGACAGCATGGGACAGCATGGGACAGCATGGGAGGACAGCATGGGAGGATAGCATGGGAGGACAGCATAGGAGGACAGCATAGGAGGACAGCATAGGAGGACAGCATGGGAGGATAGCATGGGAGGATAGCATGGGAGGACAGCATGGGAGGACAGCATGGGAGGACAGCATAGGAGGACAGCATGGGAGGATAGCATGGGAGGATAGCATGGGAGGATAGTATGGAGGATAGCATGGGAGGACAGCATGGGAGGACAGCATGGGAGGATAGCATGGGAGGATAGCATGGGAGGATAGTATGGGCGGACAGCTTGGGAGGATAGCATGGGAGGAAAGCATGGGAGGATAGTATGGGAGGAAAGCATGGGAGGATAGCATGGGCAGACAGCATGGGAGGATAGCGTGGGGGGACAGCATGGGACAGCATGGGACAGCATGGGAGGACAGCATGGGAGGATAGCATGGGAGGACAGCATGGGAGGATAGCATGGGCAGACAGCATGGGAGGATAGCGTGGGGGGACAGCATGGGACAGCATGGGAGGACAGCATTGGAGGATAGCATGGGCGGACAGCATGGGAGGACAGTATGGGAGGATACCATGGAGGACAGCATGGGAGGATAGTATGGGAGGACAGCATGGGAGGACAGCATGGGAGGACAGCATGGGAGGATAGTATGGGCGGACAGCATGGGAGGACTGCATGGGAGGATAGCATCGGAGGACAGCATGGGACAGCATGGGAGGATAGCATGGGAGGATAGTATGGGCGGACATTATGGGAGGACAGCATGGGAGGATAGCATGGGAGGACAGCATAGGAGGACAGCATGGGAGGAAAGCATGGGAGGACAGCATGGGACAGCATGGGAGGACAGCATGGGAGGATAGTATGGGAGGACAACATGGGAGGACAGCATGGGAGGATAGCATTGGAGGACAGCATGGGAGGATAGCATGGGACAGCATGGGAGGAAAGTATGGGAGGACAGCATGGGAGGATAGCATGGGGGGATAGTATGGGAGGATAGTATGGGCGGACAACATGGGAGGACAGCATGGGAGGACAGCATGGGACAGCATGGGAGGATAGTATGGGAGGATAGTATGGGATGATAGCATGGGACAGCATGGGAGGACAGTATGGGAGGATAGTATGGGAGGACAGCATGGGAGGACAGCATGGGCGGACAGCATGGGAGGACAGCATGGGAGGATAGTATGGGAGGATAGCATGGGAGGATAGTATGGGAGGATAGTATGGGCGGACAACATGGGAGGACAGCATGGGAGGACAGCATGGGACAGCATGGGAGGATAGTATGGGAGGATAGTATGGGATGATAGCATGGGACAGCATGGGAGGACAGTATGGGAGGATAGTATGGGAGGACAGCATGGGAGGACAGCATGGGCGGACAGCATGGGAGGACAGCATGGGAGGATAGTATGGGCGGACAGCATGGGAGGATAGCATGGGAGGATAGTATGGGAGAATAGCATGGGCGGACAGCATGGGAGGATAGTATGGGAGGATAGCATGGGAAGATAGGATGGGAGGACAGCATGGGAAGACAGCATGGGAAGACAGCATTGGAGGACAGCACGGGTGGACAGAATGGGAGGATAGCATGGGAGGATAGCATGGGAGGACAGCATGGGAAGACAGCATAGGAGGATAGTATTGGAGGACAGCATGGGACAGCATGGGAGGATAGTATGGGAAGACAGCATGGGAAGTCAGCATGGGAAGACAGCATGGGAGGACAGCACGGGTGGACAGCATCGGAGGACAGCATGGGAGGACAGCATGGGAAGACAGCATGGGTGGACAGTATGGGAGGATAGCATGGGAAGACAGCATGGGAAGACAGCATTGGAGGACAACACGGGTGGACAGAATGGGAGGACAGCATGGGAGGAAAGCATGGGAGGACAGCATGGGAAGACAGCATGGGAGGATAGTATGGGAGGACAGCATGGGACAGCATGGGAGGATAGTATGGGAAGACAGCATGGGAAGTCAGCATGGGAAGACAGCATGGGAGGACAGCACGGGTGGACAGCATGGGAGGACAGCATGGGACAGCATGGGACAGCATGGAAGGACAGCATGGGAGGACAGCATGGGAGGACAGTATGGGACAGCATGGGAGGACAGCATGGGAGGATAGTATGGGAGGATAGTATGGGCGGACAGCATGGGACAGCATGGGAGGACAGCGTGGGAGGATAGCATGGGAAGATAGCATGGGAAGACAGCATGGGAGGATAGCATGGGAGGACAGAATGGGACAGCATGGGAGGACAGCATGTGACAGCATGGGAGGACAGCATGGGAGGATAGTATTGGAGGATAGTATGGGAGGATAGTATGGGCGGACAGCATGGGAGGACTGCATGGGAGGATAGCATGGGAGGACAGCATGGGACAGCATGGGAGGATAGTATGGGAGGATAGTATGGGCGGACAGTATGGGAGGACAGCATGGGAGGATAGCATGGGAGGACAGCATGGAAGGACAGCATGGGAGGACAGCATGGGAGGACAGCATGGGAGGACAGCATGGGAGGATAGCATGGGAGGATAGTATGGGAGGACAGCATGGGACAGCATGGGAGGACAGCATTGGAGGATAGTGAGGGAGGATAGTATGGGATAGTATGGATGACAGCATGGGAGGACAGCATGGGAGGATAGCATGGGAGGACAGCATGGGAGGATAGCATGGGACAGCATGGGAGGAAAGCATAGGAGGACAGCATGGGAGGACAGCATGGGAGGATAGTATGGGAGGATAGTATGGGCGGACAACATGGGAGGACAGCATGGGAGGACAGCATGGGACAGCATGGGAGGATAGTATGGGAGGATAGTATGGGATGATAGCATGGGACAGCATGGGAGGACAGTATGGGAGGATAGTATGGGAGGACAGCATGGGAGGATAGCATGGGAGGACAGCATGGGAGGACAGCATGGGAGGATAGCATGGCCGGACAGCATGGGAGGATAGCATGGGAGGATAGTATGGGAGAATAGCATGGGCGGACAGCATGGGAGGATAGTATGGGAGGATAGCATGGGAAGATAGGATGGGAGGACAGCATGGGAAGACAGCATGGGAAGACAGCATGGGAGGACAGCATGGGAAGACAGCATGGGAAGACAGCATTAGAGGACAGCACGGGTGGACAGAATGGGAGGATAGCATGGGAGGACAGCATGGGAAGACAGCATGGGAGGATAGTATGGGAGGACAGCATGGGACAGCATGGGAGGATAGTATGGGAAGACAGCATGGGAAGTCAGCATGGGAAGACAGCATGGGAGGACAGCACGGGTGGACAGCATGGGAGGACAGCATGGGAGGACAGCATGGGAGGATAGCATGGGACAGCATGGGAGTGTTCTTGAAGTGTCTACCTTGCAGAAGACATGTGATGTACATCCTCTCCTGGGTGTAGCGAGTCAGCAGGTCGGACAGTCTGGAGCTGCTGCTGCTGCTTGGATCCTCTTCTATCAACACCACACTACCTGTTTCTGGCAACATGGAACATTCTGTCTTCAAATAGGACTATCTAATGCTACTTGGATTCAGGGGATTGGAAAATGCCTTAAGACCAATCTCCTATCTCCCCTCCCATAATAAATGACCAGTCCCTTACCAGCTGGAACAAATCAGCTTCAGTTATTGTAAAGTAAACTTCGACAGGTTCTTAAACTTTGCTTGACCAGCTTATTTGAAGGGCTCTCAACGATGTGGTCTACATTCATGAACATTGAAGTTGTGTCAGTAAATCATACCTGGGGCAGTTTGACCTAGTTACATGACCTTAAAGGGAAACAACACTGCAACTTTGAAAGTATTGAAATATGAATCGTCTATTTCTTCATGGATTCTAAATTTGCTTATTATGGGCTATATTTCGACTAGTTTGACTTGTGTTCTACACAAAGCGACACCTATCGGAGGATCAAGAATGAGAAACCCTAAATATCATAAGAAAGGATATACAATAAAGAGCTACAGCCGAACTTACATGTATTTTTGTTGTTGATTAATGGATACACATTTGGGTGGCTGTTCGGTCAAAAAAGTTAAAAAAAAGGACAAAAGTATGCAATAAAGGTCAAATATTACAAATAAAGAACTAAATGTTACTCAAAGGTCAAAATACAAAACAAACGGATGCCAGTAAAAAAATACAAAGCTGAAATAAAGTCCAAAAGTACGAAAAATAGTCAAATGTTACTAATAAAGTATCAAATGTTTGTAATAAAGGTCAACATACAAAACAAACAGACACCGGTTAAACAAATACAAGGTTGAAATAAAGGTCAAAAGTAGGCAATAGTAATAGTCAAATGTTACGAAAAGAGGTCATAAGAAAAGAAAGAACAATGTGTAAGAAAGAACGTCAGTGAGCACAAAAGGACCAATACAATAAAGAACCAATTTTCATGATGGTGACAACTAAAAATCCCTTGAGTAGATAACAATGAACAATCAATTAACGTATTATAAGCTAATCTGTGAGCAAAGTATGTTGTTTTTTCATCGGCACGTCACATCCAGTTGTGGGTGTATTATTATGGTATGTTTATGGTTCTGTTCGGTTGAACAAAACCTTCCAAATGGCGTGCTGGTTTTCTTGGGGAAATAAGTCAGCAAAGAGCCGGAGTCACAGGATACTAATCACAATTTTATATCATAGAAAATAGCTGAGGGTGCCACAGAGAGTCGGTACAACCCTCTGGGCTGTGGGAGAGAGATCTGCTTGGTATGAGCGTCAAACCCCTTCTGCTTATCATTTGGCTTCTGTATGTATTTAACAAAAATTAGAACAATAAAATGGAATATGATTGGTTGATACACGATGGACTGTGCCTTATGGTTAATGAATGGATAGACAGAGGGGAATACTTAATCCTGTTAATCCTGTTGGACTGGCAATAATCTTGTTGACATACTTACTGGGTGCTTTGAAAGAGATTATGGTGTCACTATAGACGAGCTTGTATTGGGGCTAATCCTTAATGCACTATAGACGAGCTTGTATTGGGGCTAATCCTTAATGCACTATAGACAAGCTTGTACAGGGGCTAATCCTTAATGAGTCTAAATTAAAGTAATTGTTGAATGTTATTCTTATATAGGTGATGACAGATTTACTTAAATAAAATAGTTCAAGGTAATCTATAAGACTATGTAGACATATCTTTTGTCTGGGAGATGGGATCTTGATACCTTAGGCTAGCATTTATCCAAAAGCTTCAAATCTATTAAACTATGTAGACATAACTCTTGTCTTATTGAATAGTATGTCTAGGAGATGCGCTCCCGTTACCTTAGGCTAGCATCTATCTAAAAAGGTATAACTGAAACTACTGATATTTTATATGTGCATTTTACCTGATGATTAGTATTACTTGCTAAACTATAATTATATGAAATGATGTATAAATATTACACCGTGATAACTCATAAAAGCACTTGATGTGGATCTAATTATTATAGGATAACTAAGTATAAATGTTATATCATGATAACTTCCCCTCCGTCTGAAAAAGTTTGGACCCCAAATGTGTAAAATAAAATAATTATGGCTTAGATGGACAATGTATTAAGTTAAACTGGTAGTATATTAAATAACAAATATTATCGAGTCTCTTTGGTATAAGGAATGTAAAAGTTCTTTCTGCTGTCATCAGGGAATCTGGATGTGGAGCTGGCTTGTGTTGGCACACTGTACTGGTGGTTTTGAGGTGATGTAGGAGGCCTTGGGATAGTTCCACATCCTGGTTTGAGGTTTAAGGATATTGGCTGTGTCCATTATCCGTTATAGTGGTTTTGCATGGAAAACAAAGAAAAAGAGAGTTAGCATGTTCAAATAATATGTCATATTTAAAAATTATCCACACTTCCTAAGTTTGTATGTAATAAGTAAAAAATAAAACAAATATAATATTTATGATGTAAAAGATCAGTACATAATTATTACTAAATGGTGTCGTGACCAGGAAGAATGTATTGGCAGCAAATTACACAAAGTATATCATTGATTAAAAATGTCCTTCTATTTTTGGATACAATCATTAGAGTGAGTGAGTGAGTTTGGTTTTATGCCGCTTTTAGCAATATTCCGGCAATATCACGGCGGGGGACACTAGAAATGGGCTTCACACATGGTACCCATGTCGGGAATCGAACGTCTTCGGCGTGACGTGCGAACACTTTAACCACTAGGCTACCCTACCGCCCCACAATCATTAGAGACATTATATATACATATAACATATGCATTGATTCTTTTCGCTTTGATTTTCGTTCGGTTCAATGCGATAGGGTTTGGTTTCGTTCGGTTCAATTCGGTTTATTTTGCTTCGGTATGGTGTTGGTTCGATTCGCAGTATGGTTTGCTTTGCTTCGGTACGGTTTCGGTTCCCTTTGGTTTGAGTCATTTTGATTAGATTCGCGATACGGTTCGATTTCGTTCGGTTCAATTCGGTTCATTTCGCTTTGGTACGGTTTGATTCGCTTCGGTTTGACTCATTTCGATTCGTTATGGTTCGCTTTGGTTGGCTCGTTTCACTTCGCTTTTGAGATTGGTTGATCAGGTCAATGCTCAAAAATTTGTTGTGATACAAATAACTCAGACGATCAGGCCGATGCCATTTGTTCCCAACTGGCGACCCAAAGTGAAAAGACTGGACACAAGTAAACATAACAAGATACAGCTAAAAGCTGTTTAGTGATTTGCAACGTTTATTTAGGAGATTTTGTATTTTGCACAAGAATATTTTCATTTGGCATCTACAGGTATATATGGGGAGTTGATCCTGGTATGGTTGATGGGGACGACAGTCTGGGGTTGTAACACGGTTGTAAAAGGTGTTGATGTTTCCAAAGTCTTTATCTAGAAAAATAACCCTTTTGGATTTATAAATTGGTAGTTCATCTGGATCATATGGAGGATTATCTTCTCCACAGGACCACTCACAGAGATCCTTCCAGCTATCATCAAGGTAGCGCTGTATGAGGTGGGGAGGAACACTTTCAAAATAGCGTGTGTGGTAATCATGATCATCTTTGTTGTTGGTATATGAGATCTTGACAGCCTCCTTGAATAACTTCAATGCCCGTAACTCTCTTTATTAAATGACCCTCTACTTTTCGTAGGTGTTTTGGAATAAACGGATATGGTTTGACATCTAATTCTACACATGGTTTGGTGTTGCTCGACTGCTGCTGCCATACTCTTCCTGGATCCTTCCATTTCAATCTGAAGTAGATTTTGCCATTTGCTCTCTTAGAACTTACAATTGAGTGGATGTCCTCTGGATTGAAAATAGGAGGGATATCCTTGGTTTGATTACCTGATGTTGGACTCTGACTTGGAGGTTGTACCTGGCTGTCGTCAAGTTGTTTTCTGGATTTTGGCTGGTGATGCTTACTATTCACTCCTCTTTTCCCTTTGTTTACTTTTTCATCTACCTTGGTTGGAGCATGATTTTCCTTCGTCATTGTTGTACTGGGACTGGCAGGTTTTTCTGTTGTACTTGGAGCAGGGTTTTTCTTCTTTGTTGGGGTCTTTTGCTTTGAATTCTTGCTGCTGGAAGTGCCTGCCTTAGTTTTGGAAATGACCTTGTTACCTTTCTGTCGTGGAGGTGATTGATCAGTGGCTTGGTAAGTTGAACTTGTTGATGGGGAATTGTTGCTGTCAAGCTGTGAATCATTGACTTGTTCCTCATTGTCATCCATGACTCCTGAATCTATGTTACTGGTGTCATTGAGGTAAGGTTCTGGGGGATAATGTGAACGATCAGCAGGATCAAAATATAGCTTCAGATGGTTGGCATGGACCAGTGGTTTGTGTATTTTGTCGTAAGAACTTCGGCGTAGTTTGTAGGTATAATTTGGACCTGTATGGATGATATAATAGCTACCATACCACTTTTTGGTTAACTTTTTGGAAAGGCCTTTTTCAACTTTTTGACAATAAAGCCAAACTCTTTGACCTGGGGTGAATTCAGGTTCTTTAGCCTTTCAATTATATTGTTCTGAATACACCTCCTAAGCCCACGCAGTGTTTTCAGCTGCAATTGTTCTAATGATTTCCAGCTCAAGTAAATTTAAAAGATAACTTTTGTTATTGTGGCCTAAATTTTCTTTTGGAATTAATGCTACATCTTGTGGAGCTCTCATTTCTCGGCCAAAAAGCATAATGTATGGGGATTTTTGCGTTGATGAATTTGGGGCCATCCGATAGGCCATCATGATGCCAGGAATAAAACTGGGCCAATCTTTTTGAGACTTGTTACAATAGGCTCTAAGTGTAGATTGATGTCAGAATTGAGCCTTTCTACACAGCTGTTTGTTTGAGGATGGTATGGGCTGGTATGGGTAAATTTGATTGCCAAAAGTTCACAAATTGCTTTGATAAGTTTGGACATGAAGTTCTGTCTGAAATTAGGGTCCTTGGAGTGCCATACCGACAAAATATTTCTCTGACGAGAACATCTGCTACTTCTTTGGCTTC